AATGATGCTTCTGTATGATCTATGAGTCACTGAAGAATTTAAGTGTGTTGAAGAGATGAAACTAACAAAAAAAAAATCAAAATCCATGAGGTACAATTTCCGCTGATCTTTGTTGGTGAAATATGTCTCCTGTAGGCAACAATAGATGGGTTTGTTTTTTAATACAGTCTACTAATCTGTAATGTTTGATTGATGAGTTTAAGCCATTTATATTCAGAGTTAATACAAATAGGTGGTAATTTGGTCCTGTCATTTTAGCAATGGATTGGTCATTTATTTAGTCTTCTGTTGTTGTGGGATGTTCTTCACATTTGCCTTTGGTTTTGATGGGCATCATTCCTTTTCTCTGTCAAGTATCATATGTAGGGCAGGTTTGGAAGAGGCATATTCGTATAACTTTTCCTTACTGTGGAAGAATTTTATTTCATTTTCAAAGACAAAGGAAAGTTTTGCTGGATGTGTTATCCTGGGCCGATAATTTTTTAGAATGTGGAATATGTCACTCCATTCTCTTCTGGCCTGTAGAGTTTCCTGTGAGTTTAATTGGCATTCCTTTATATGTTAATTGATTTTTTTTTTCACGTGCACATTTAAGGATCTTTTCCTTATGTTCAATTGAAGAGAGCTTGATGATCATGTATCTTGGTGAAGATTGGTTTTGGTCAAGCCTGTTGGGAGTTCTGTGCCCCTCCTGTGTGTTGTTTCCTAATTCTTTCTCTAGATTAGGGAAATTTTCTTTTATTATTTCATTAAATACATTTTTAAACCCAGCTTCTCTTTCTGCACCTTCTGGGACTCCCGTAACTCTTACATTTGGCCTTTTAATAGAGTGTTTCAATTCTTGAATACTTTTTGGCCTGATCCAGCTCTGCTTCCAGCTTTTTGTTTGTTTCCTCCTGGTGACAGGAAATATCTTCTAATTCTGAGATTCTTTCTTCTTGCCTTCTTCATTTTCTTTTGGAGACTCTCCACTGTACTTTTAATTTGCTCCACTGTATTCTTCATTTCTGATTATCAGTTTTGATTCATTTCCTGTGTGACATATGCCTCGAATTCCTTGAATGCTTGCTTTATGCGCTTCTGGTTGTTAACAAGTTTTATAACAACTGTCTTGAATTTTGTGTCCTCCATTGTCTCAATGTCTTCCTCAGTTAACTGAGGTCGGCAAAGGGTTTACTTCTTTGCAGGGGAGTCTTCAGTAATATTCATTGAGCCTCTGTCTCTTCTTTTGCTCTTGGTCATTGTACTTCTGGTTAGCAGAGTTTTCTCCTTGGAACAGAATTCTAAGCTGTGTCACCCACAGGACTACAGGTCGATTTTACTAATTGCAGTTGATACACAGCTCTTTGTTTGCCGTCACCTGTGCCACTCCCTTCAGCGAGTTCCAGGTCTGGGTTCTTATGTTAGATTTCCACCATGGTCTCCATAGCCCCAGGTCCTGGCTCACCACTCTCCACCTCCTGTGATACCATGCTGAAGCTGCACCATTGTCTGCACAACCTTTCTCCCACTTCCGGTTGGAGCAGGTTCCAGGATCAGGAAGATACCAGGTGTCCTATATAGCTAGGTTGTTGGTGGTGCTGATCTTGCCAGAACCTGTTGGCCTTTAGGCCTGAGGGCCACCCAGACCTGTTTTGACCCGTACAATGCCATAGTTGGTATCGGTATTATTTTCCTGTGGGACCAGTGCAATGTACTGAGTTCAGTGAGTTTTCATGGAGCTCAGTGCATGTACAGCTCACTGTTGTCCCCTGCAGTCTTAAATTCTTTGCCACGCTGTAAGAGATGGCACCTGATGTGCCAGTACTAGAGTTCTTGATCTGCTGGCCGTCTTGTCTGAGGGCTACTCATACCTGTCTGGGTGGAACCTGTCCGATGCCATGTTGTTGCAGTTCACTGAGCCAGAAATGGGTTCACTCCCAGCTCAGTGCATGCTCAGTCCTGCCCCACAGCCTTTGCCTCCTTAAGCTAAATGGCGCCAATTTTGGCTCTAGGGGGTAGACTGGGTTTGGAAATCCTTCCTGTTTCAGCAGTGCCAGTCTGGGACCTGCTGCTCTGTCTCCTTTCCTGATCAAATCAAACAAACCAGTAGGATGAACAGTTCTTTCTCTGGGTTCACCTCCTGAGCTCCCAGTAAATGTCCCTTGCCACCTTGCTGCTGGTGGAGTTCCTGCTGCAGGTGGAGTTCAGATCGCCGTTAGCTGAATGCTGCTGTGGTATCAGTCACTGCAATACCACACCGTTGTGTCTGCTGCTTTCCCCGTGTGTCTGTCAGTCTCCATGTACCCCTCTGCTGTTGGTCTGTCCTCTCCTATTTCCTGGAATGTGCACTCTGCCTCACACTGGCTAATGCATCTCTGTCTGTTTAAACGTGTCCTTACCCTATTCCTCCCTCTTGATTCTACCGAGATTATTTCTGTGAGCAGAGTTAGAGAGGGAGAAGAGAACCTGTTCCATCTGCTGGTGCACTCCCCAGATGACTGAAGCTAGGAGACTGGAACTCCATCCGGGTATGCTTGGTGGGTGGCAAGGACACAAGCACCTTCTGCTTTTCTAGCTGCATTAGCAGGAAGCTGGATCGGAAACAGAGCTGCAGCCAGGCTACACTTGTAAGAGCTGCTAGCAAAGTGGGCTACCGGCCACACGCCACAGCACTGGCACGCAAAGTACCCATTCTTTGTGGCATTTAGAAGTACCCTCAGATATCCCACTGGGCTGCTTGGGCAGGTCTAGGTTGTTGGCACTAGACAAAGGAGAGGCAGGTCAGATTTGCTTTTCACAGTGTGGGATGTGGCAGGAAGTGTGGTTAGGGACTGGAGGTGCATGAGGGTACCTTGACAATTTCACAGATATTTAATTAAGAGACAAAGTTTTTCTGTTGCAGAACAATTTTGAGATCCATGCAAAAAAAACTACACGAGGCATGTAATAAAAGTGGAAGTGAGGTTGTAGGAATGGAGCAGACAGGACAGATTGGAGAATTCCCTGAAAGCTGAAACTGATGTAATTTGGTGACTGAGCAAATGTGGGCTACGAGATAAAGGCATTTATGTTGACTGCAAGGCCTCGGCCTGGGTGACCAGATGCTGCTTGAGACTCCAGCTCTAGAACAGCAGCTCTGCGGAGCAGCTGCCCTGGAGGAAAACTGAGGTTAAGATTGCTGAGTTTGCAGTCGGTCCTGTGGGCAGGTGTAGGCTTGAGGGTTCAACATAGGTGCCCATTAAAGCCGCCTGTGATGCCACATCTCAGAGTGAGGGTTCAGTTCCTGGCTGCTCAGGTTCTCAGCCAGCTCCCTGCTGATCCACCTGAGAAGGCAACGGAGAATGGCCCGAGTGCTTGTGCCATTACATCCATGTGGGAGACCCCAATGGAGCTCTCGGCTCCTGCCTGGTCCAGCCTTTGCTGCCTCGGGGGGAGTGAACTAACACGTGGAGAATCTCCACCTGTCTGTGGCCCTGCATTTCAACTAAATAAACTAAATAAATCTGATTAAAAATCATAAAAATAAGAATCTGTAAAGAAACAAAGCCAAGAACATGGATGCAGTCAAGCAAATGGTATGAGGAGCTGAGGGGCGTGACAGGTATTGAGCAGAGAGAGGGACAGCGGATGTGGGGACACCTGAAGTACCCAGCAGGGAGAGGGAAGGCGGATGTGGGGACACCTGAGGTACTGAGCAGGGAGAGGGAGGGTGGATGTGCTCTTCCCAATGTGGAATATGAACTTGGGACTGTTATCTGGGTACGTGATTTGTAAAAAATAACACTTGCACATCTTATTATGGAGGAATGAGAGTGTGTGTTTCTAGGTTTCATGACGTGAATAAAGCTTTACATACTATGGTATGTGGTCAGACTGGCCATCACAAATTCCCTGCCTCTTTGATGGTGGTTTCACACTCTGATGGAGTTTTTGCTCAGGTGATGTCAGTCCTTAGTTCCCTCCTGTTTTCCTTAGTAAACCATGTGTGTTCCCTTGTGGTTCCTTGCAGTGTTTAAGAAAGTTGCAAATTACTCAGGGACCATTTGTGTGAACTCTGGAGTTGAAGAGATACATGTGGTGGTTCTCCCTGTTTTGAGTATCATCTTGCACATTTTTGAAGAAATTGGAGTCTTTTTAAAAATAAACTATGTATTCTGTGTGTAACAGAGTATAATTGACCATGTTCTGTGTATAATTGACCATCCTTAAGTTTCTGTTGCACATCTTAGTTTCAGTTAATTAATGTTGATTTAAATCGGCTTAGAAGTATTGGAGAATAACAGTGATCTGAGTAGGCTTCCATTTCCTGCTTGGATTTTTTTTTTTTTTCTCTTTAGTCTCCCCTTCACAGTGATCTTGCCATTAGTTTACTTAAAGTGTCGTTCCAGCCTTGTCACTGATCTGCTATAGGAATCACTACACAGCTCTTCAGTGCTGGTTGAGTCAGCTCTGCTGGGCCGCCAGTGGGCTGCAGGTCCCCCAGACAACCGTTCCCCACCCGGCACTGTCCCAGACTGCTCGTCTTTCCAGAGCGTTCTGTAGCTCCCTGTCCCTGTGTGTGGTCTGCCCAGACACCTCTCACCATTTCCCAGCTTGCCAAAATCTTGTTTGTTTCTAGCTTTCCCAAGCAAGCCTGCTCCTCCTGGGTGTGGCGGCGGGGGGGGGGGGGGGAGTTAATTCCATCTGTCATGGGTTTTTATCTAGTAGTTTTTGCATGGATCTGTTCTTGTTATATTTCTTTGTGTTGAAAGATAGTAAGCCCCTTGTAGGTGACTCATTGATTCATTTTATAAATATTGAATTTCTCCAAAAATGTCACATTCTGTCTCAGTCACGGTTATTAGTGTCTGGCAGCACCTCTTTCCAGGGTTGGCATAAATTGTTGAAGTGAGTCTGAGAATGTGAAGATAATGTGTTGTTATTAGACAAGACTGCTCAAAACTAAAGCTGTTTCGGCCAACTTGTTTTGAAACACGTGTTTCAAAAGCAGTATTTTCTTTTTTCTTTTTGTGCTTTAGTCAAAGAAGAAAGGACTGAGTGCTGAAGAAAAGAGGACTCGTATGATGGAGATATTTTTTGAGACAGTAAGTTGTTTCCCTTAAGTAACTTGTATGATTTTCATGTTTAGTGTGCGTCATCCAGGACTGACTGTCCCTGCTTTATCAGAGGCCACACGGACCAGTACCTTAAAGAGTGGATGAAGCTCTACAGACATTTGTAACTCCTATGAGCCATAGAACACTGTTGATAATCTCCTTTTTCTTAACATTAAAAAAATTTTTTTTGTTTTTAATATTTACGTAGTTGAGAGGGATGCATGCCTATGGGGCCTCTGATTAAGGTGGTAAGGTCTTGGGCAGACTTTGCCAGCAGACCCCTACGGGTGATGTGACAGTGTTCTTAGGCCACAAGAACCATGAAGGACAGTCTGGTGGGGCATGTCCATTTATTGTAAATTGAGCACAAACTTATATAGACTAGGCAAAGGGGATAACAGAAGGGCTGTCCTGATAGTCCCGCCACCCACAGTGTCAGTTTCTTTGTTAAGAAGAATGACAATAGAACAGAGCTCGCAGTGTTGCTAGAAAGGTCAAATAGTATCATCTGTAGGAAATGTTGAAGAATAAGATGTTGAAAGAACCTAAGTACCTCATTAAATAACATCTAGTGTTACAGTCGTGGGTCTCCTCAGTCTCAAACACATAATCATTTTTTGGGAAGGGCAGGGGAAAGTCAAATATACAGAGAGAGGTGGAGAGACAGGGAGGGAGGATCTTCCGTCCGATGATTCACTCCCCAAGCATCCACAATGGCCAGAGCTGCGCTGATCCAAAGCCAGGAGCCCAGAGCCTTTTCCAAGTCTCCCATGCATTTGCAGGCTCCCAAGGCTTTGGGCCGTCCTCCACTGCTTTCCCAGGCCACAGGCTGTGGGCCGAATGTGAAGAGGGGTGGCCAGGATTAGAACCAGCACCCATATGGGACTCTGAGCGTGCAAAATGAGTACTTCAGCCGCTAGACTACCACACTGGGCCCATCAAAGCCACGGTGTCCTCTCTTTAATTGCTGCTTTGTGCTAGAGGATCTAAAAACTAAGACTGACCTGCAATCAGCCACTCCGTCCATTTGAATGGACACAGTGGAACCAGGCATTCTGAGGCCGGTTGTGGACAGGCATGTTTATTTTCTAAGCAGACCCACTGGGGCAACCAATATGTCAGGAGTTGGTCCTTGGTGAGTCCAGTTAGGTGGATGGCACAGTAAGTTCCTGTTGTTCTGGGAATCTAGAGCAATTGCGAAGTTGTTTGAGTAATTGATTTCTGAATGTTTTAGAGACGTCCAGTTAGTAATTTACTATGCGCTGAGATCCTAAAGCATTATTTGAGTTTGTTCCCCAGAGTTGAAATATTGACTTCAGACCTACCCTAAATCCAGTAACTTAGTGTTTCTCCTTAAGTTACTGAGTCTTAGGTGTTGTGAGGTAAAATTTTTTCATTTTATCGTAAAAATTTTATTTTTAAACTTATACTTGTCTACACTTTTTAAAAATTTTATTTTTATTGGGAAGTCAGATATACATAGAAGAGGAGAGACAGAGAGGAAGATCTTGCATCTACTAATTCACTCCTCAAGTGGCCACAACAGCCAGAGCTGAGCCCATCCGGAGCCAGGAGCCTGTTCCTGGTCTCCCATGTGGGTGCAGGGACCCACAGCTTGGGCTGTCCTCAGTTGCTTTCTCACGCCACAAGTGGGGAGCTGGATGGGATGCAGGGTGGCTGGGACCCCAGGGTGTGCAAGGAGAGGATTTAACCATTGCACTGGGCCTAATCCCATATTTTTCTAACAATATTTTTTTTTGATTACTAAATAATATTTTCAAAATTGCTTGATTATTGTTGCCCTAAATTACTTCTACCACTGAAAACTAAGACATATTACAAACACTAAGGAACATTCTATGTAGGCTTTTTTTTCCTTGACCATATGATTAAATGTTCCACATTTGTAATTCCCAATACTGTTTTACTTTGTTTTGCTTTTGGTGGTTCTGCATCATGAGTAGGTAAATGATTGACAGACACCTCTGAAATGTCTGCGTTTTTTTTTTTATTTTTTTTAAAGATATTTCCACTTTTGTTAAGATATATTTATTTTTATTGGAAAGGTGGATATACAGAAAGGAGGAGAGACAGAGATGAAGATCCTGCATCCAATGATTCACTCCCCAAGTGTCCACAATGGCTGGAACTGAGCCAGTCCAAAGCCAGGAACCAAGAGCTCCTCTGAGTCTCCCACGCAGGTGCAGGGTCTCAAGGCTTTGGGCCATTCTTGACTGCTTTTCCAGGCCACAAACAAGGAGCTGAATGGGAAGCAGGGCCACCGGGATTAGAACCAGCACCCATATGGGATCCCAGCGCATGCAAGGCAAGGACCTTAACCACTATGCTATCGTGCCAGTCGTATCTGTTTCCTTGTTTAGCTATAGCTTTCCCGTGAAACGCTAAATGTACACAGCTCTCGACAGTTGCCTGTTTTGTGTATAGTGAGAACTGTGAAGTGTATAGTGAAAACTGTGAAGTGTGCTGTATGCTAATGAAAGTGCTATTGTGTCTTCTTAAAACCACAGAAGCTGATTCAGCACCTCATGCTACCAAGTGACCCAACATAGCTGGTTTGTCAACTTTGTGGGAAGATGTTCTTTATGTTTTTATCTCCAAGTGCTTTAAAGAATGGCTTGAATATGTGAAATGGTCCATTCTGACTTTGTTGAGGATATAGGGTGAGAGAATTGCAGTTTCTTACAATGTTAAAATGCCTGATTCTTTGCACTATTCATTTTCAGGTGCAGTTTTTTTTAATACAATGTTTTATGAACATAATATAAACAGTGAGAAACAAACATGTATTTTTCATCTTTATATTCTTTTTCAACAGAAAGATGTGTTTCAACTAAAAGACATAGAGAAGATTGCTCCTAAAGAAAAAGGCATTAGTAAGTATCACGTCACACTGGGATGCTGTGGGAAATATGTTTTTTTTTCTGCAGTGATCTTTCTCTTTATGAAAAACATGCATTTATAGAAGAAAAGAATGTAAAAGTCCCTGTGTCATGTCCATGGGCCACAGCCACAGGTCTTGAGTTTAAAGCATCTGTTGTAGAAAAATAAAACAGGAGGGAACTAGTAGTTGGTACAGCAAGCTAAGCTGCCACTTGTACTGCTGGCATCCTGTAGGAACACTGGCTTGTGTTTTGGCTATTCCACCTTCAGTCCAGCTTCCTGCTGATGACCTGGAAAAGGCCAGAGATGGCTCAAGTTCTTGCACTCCTGCAGACACCTGAGAGACCTGGAAGAAGTTCTTGGCTTTGGCCTGTCCCAGCCTTGGCCATTGAGGCCGTCTGGGGAGGGAGCCAGTTGATAGAAGATCTCTGCCACTCCTCTCTGTGACTCTGCCTTTCAAGTAAATAACTGAATCTTGGGGCTGGCATAGTGGCTCTGCAGGTTGATCCTCCACCTGGAGCCCGGTGTCCCAGATGGTGCCAGTTTGTGTCACGGCTGCTCTGTTTTGATCCAGCTTCCCACTTACGGCCTGGGAGACAGTGGAGGATAGCTGAAGTCTTTGGGTCACTGCACCTATGCGTGAGACCAGGAAGAAACTCCTCAGTCTTGGTTTTGGGTCATTCCAACTTGACCATTACAACTGTTTGGGGAGTGAGCCATTGGATAGAAGATCTCTTTCTGCAGCTCTGACTTTCAAGTAAAAGAAATCTTTTAAAAAAAAGTAAATACTTTTTCTTTTCTTTTTTTTTTTTTATTTATTTAATTTTGACAATCCTTAATTGGGGTAAAAAAGGTTCAAGGTCTAAAGGGGGATATAGAGGAAGAAGCCCCACCCAGTCTCCCGCCCACCCCAAGTCCCGGGTGTGGGGCGCGCTCCGAGATACTCGATCAAGTGGTTCCAATAGTTCACCATTCATGGGTCGTTGCCAGTCTCGCCACCCCAGTCATGATGTGGTCATTGAAGAGTTCATTGATTGACACAGTCCCTTCTAGGGTCTCCATTTGCCCAGTCTCTGCTGCCAACAGATGGCTGAGGTTGTTGCTTGATTTGTCCTGTCTTTCCCTGGTTAGGACTCCGAGTCCGGTGTCTCGAATGGGAAGATCCTCGAAGAAATTTTGAGGTATTCCCAGTCCAGATTCCTGCTGTTTTAGTAGCATAGGGCCCGGCACAGTCCACTGCCCCGGTCAGCTGGCGGCTGCAGTTGCTGGGCCGGTTCTATCTCCACCCGTGTCCTCTTGCAGTCCCGCCTGGTTCCACCCTGGACGCATTTGTCCCTCGCACGTACTAGTAGGAGTTGCAGCCCAGTCAGGGCGGCCCACAGTAGCCTCAACCAGGCCCACCTCCTACCCTGGCTTGCCAGTATATATGGCATACTAGCCCAGTCTGTCCCCAGTACCCTTCTGTTCATATTCTTGCCAACAGGTGTTGCCACCTACTTCCATCCAACTATCTCCTCCTACCGTCCCCAACGGATATTGTTGGGTGTCTGTCTAGCCACCCCAGCCCCTGTCCTAGTTCCCATGCCCTCCCGTGGAAGGTGATGACCCATGAGGGAGGAACCCACTCTTTCCCTCCCAGGTCGCTCCCATTCCAGTTGTGCCCTCTCCATTTGGCCCTGTGGTTCAACTCAACGTGACTAACCCTTTGTACCAGCTTCCGCCAACTGGTGCTACAACTAAGCCCCAACAACCCTCACCAACTCTGATTGTAGCTTGCTCCGGTGGGAATAGTCAGCCCAGCCTGGTTTTCACCTAATCTGGTCCCCATGAGGTGCACAGGCGCTGTGTCCCTGCCTGGTCTAGTCTACCCCCCACCCAGCTCCCGTTCCTCAGTGTAATTTGCTGTTCAGCTAGGGAACCTCCGCTTTTTCTCCTGTCAGCTCTGCCGCCTCCTTTCCTGGTTCTCACATGTGTTGGTTGGGTGCTGCGGCTGCATCCGGCTCAGGCTACCTCGCCTTGGCATTCCAGCTTGTGTGTTGCTTTTGTTACGACCGGACTTGGTTCGACCCACACTCTGTTCTGGCGATCAGATTTACCAGTGGATGACATGAACAGATTCAGCCTGGTCTGCCCCCGACCCATGCCAAATGCATGCCAGTGGGACTCTTTCTAAGACCTCTTGGCTGTTTCCTTCCATGTTTCTTGCGCTGACCTGCAGGGTCTGTGTCCTGCCAGAGGAGTTGCCTGAGCTCCTCCATCAGAACCCCTCCATGTGCCAGGTTATGCGCATATCAGTGGGTCCATGTGCCAGTTCGCCTCTTATCCTAGCAGGAACAGTGGTCTTTCCTAACTGGCCATCATCCCGTTCTGGTTCTTGCTGTAGAGTGTTTCAGCCCAGCCATGGTCATCCATGCCCCCATATAGCTCGTATATGGCTAAGTTGAGGTTGGGACCTAGCCTAGTTCGTCCCACATCCACCCTGGTACTCCAGAGCACCAGAAGGTGTTAGTGTCTGGCCCGGCCCGGTACATCTTTTCCCAATCCACATTTGTGCCAAGGGAGAGGACAGCTGTATCCAGACCCTGCCGCAGCCCCATCCACCTGTCATGACCCCTGCCTTAGACACTGTAGTTCAACTTTGTGCTTAATGTGGACCAGTTGGAGCCAAATCCAAGCTGGGCATGTCCTGTGTTGCACCCTGTGTTCCAGTCATACTAGTGGACTAAGGTTTGCTTAGTCCGAACATTCATCTCTCAGTCCCGCCCTTACATTAAGGTTTCATGTCCTGGTTCCTGGGAATCACCAGAAATTGGTGTCTCACCTACACTAATGCTGGTCTTACTTTTGGGTGTCCCAAAGCACCTATTTCATATCATCAAAACCCCAGAGCTCGCCGCTGGGCGGCCAGCAGGCAGAGCCTGGCACCACTTGGGGCACTGGCCGCCCAAGGCCTGGGTCTCTGCCCCCGTCTCGCGACTGACGGGGACTGTGGCTGGGACCCCGGCAGGGTTCGGACCGGAAGAGGCCGTAAATACTTTTTCAAAAATGAAAATGAGATACACATGTATAACCCACACAGTATGTACACATTTACTTATCAATATAGTTTGCTCCATAAGTACAAGCTGTTCTTGCATGTTCTCATGTTTGTTAAATGTGATTTTATATCTTTGTGTGGCACATTAATTTCCTAGGGCTGCCACAACACATGATCACAATTGGTGACTTCTGTCACAGTCCTGGAGACCAAAGCCTCAAATCCAAGGTACTGGCGTTATCTCTGGAGGCTGTGGTGGAACCTCCATTGGTTTGAGCCTGTCTGTGGTGGCAGGGTCCCAAACACATGGGCTAGCTTTCCGTCCTTTGCTTAGCAGAACATTAGCAGAGAGCTGGAATAGAAGTGGAGCAGATGGGATTTGAACCAGTACTCCTGTGAGATGCTGGCATTTCAGGTTGCAGCTTCCCTGGCTGTGCCACAGTGCTGGCCTCTGGTTTTCGTTTTGTTAACAAAAAATTTTGTCTTTCAAGGTTGGGGAGGAAAAAAAGAACCAAAAAAAAAAAACCACAAGTCAAAATTGCCTTACCCTACTATGCAAGGATAACCACTATTATAATAGTGTATACTGTATACTTATTTTCTATAAAATATATTCTATATCATATATTTTGAATATCTATGTTACTTTTTGTATACTTTTTATATAAAGATTTTGTATAATATTATGTGTTTTTTTAAATTTTATTTTGACATTCTTTACATAGTTAATTAGGGTGAGAAGGTTCAAGGGCTACAGGAAAGTGGATAATGCTAGTATGTTTTCCATATTGTTACCTGCATGTTTAAAGGGGGGTATTTAAGGGAGAAGGCCCACCCAATTTCCCACCCTCCCCAGGTCCCGGATGTAGGGCATGCTCTGAGGTTCTTGCTCAAGTGGTTTTGATATTGCAACAGTTATGCATTGCTGTCAATCTTGCCACTCAAAGCACTATGAGGGCTTTGAAGAATCCACTGATTGACATAGTACATAAGATTATGTATTTGTAACATAGTATTATACCTCAAGGAAATACTTGAAAGAAATTCAGTTCCTGTACTATCTTCCAATTTTTTTCTTTTGACAACAGTGTTTCAACAAGCATCCTTATGTGTGTGAATTGTTTTCTTTGCCTGGATTTATAAAAGATGAGTTAGTCTATAATAGGTAAATACATGAATCTAGTTTCCAAGACATATTGGCACATTTCCTCACCTATGATGAGAGCACCCATTTCCTTGAATTCTGTATTTCTTCAGTGCTTTTAGTTTAGCAGCTGTGTGTCACAGCCTTAGCGGGCAATCCTTCAGTTATTTCTGGATTGGAGCATTTTTCTTGTATTTTGTCCAGGCACATTTTGTAGATGTATGTTATGTGCTCTTGTTATTTTTTTTTCTTTTTTTTTTTTCACATTTTATTATTATTGCTATCATTTTACGATACAGTTCCATATTCCCCTATCCCCTCCCCAATTCCCTCCCCCCCCAGTTCCTTTATATCATTATTAACATATAGTTCTTCATACTCAGTCATATGTTCATCATTGCGGGCATGGACAATGGCAGAGAGTCCAGAATCCTATTGTCAAAATATAATATAAACAGTTTCACTGTAAGTCCATCTTTGTCTGGAAACAGAGATGCCGACCACACTGCATCCTCACATCTGGTTGATAGTCTCCATTACATAACTACTGTACATTCCCTTAAATGAAAAGTCATGATACAAAATCAACAATAGAAAGAAAAATAGAAATTTACAATGCCATGAAGTTAAATGACATGTTACTAGATATGACAGTCTCCATTACACAGCTACTATACCTTCCCTTAAATGAAGAGCCACAAAACAAAATCAACTTCCGGGAGAAAAAAGAAATTAACAACACCAAGAAGTTAAACAACATGCTATTAACTGTATAACGCGTAGCTGAAGAAGTGAAAATCAAGAACCTTCTTGAGGAAAATGATGCCACTGCATGATCTACGAGTCATTGAATGATTCAATCAGAAGAAAGTGTTTTGAAGAGATGAAACCAACAGAAAACAACAAAACCCATGTGATAGAGTTTTTGCTGGTCTTTGTTGGAGTGTGTCTCCTCCCGACAATAAACAGATGGGTTTTGTTTTTTTAATCCAGTCTACTAATCTATGATGTTTGATTGAGCTTAAGCAATTTACATTCAGAGTTAAATATACATAGGTGGTAATTTGGTCCTGTAATTTTAGGAAAGGGTTGTTCATTGATTTAGTCTTCTGTTGTCATTTTACTGAAATGTTCTTCCCGTTTGCCTTTGGTTTTGGTGGGTGCTATCCTCTTCTCTGTCAAGAGAACATCTTGAAGTATTATTTGTAGAGCAGGTTTGGAAGAGGCAAATTCTTTTAATTTTCTTTACTCTGGAAGAATTTTATTTCATTTTCAAAGATGAAAGAAAGCTTTGCAGGGTATGTTATCCTAGGCCGACAATTTTTTTCTTTTAGAATCTGGAATATGTCACTCTATTCTCTTCTTGCCTGTAGAGTTTCCTGTGAGAGATCTCCTGTGAGCTTAATTGGCCTTCCTTTATATGTCAATTGATGTTTTTCACGTGCACATTTAAGGATCTTTTCCTTATGTTCAATTGAAGAGAGCTTGATAATCCTATGTCTTGGTGAAGATCGCTTTTGATCAAGCCTGTTGGGAGTTCTGTGTCCCTCCTGGATCTTGTTTCCCAATTCTTTCTCCAGATTAGGGAATTTTTCCTTGATTATTTCATTAAATACATTTGCAAACTCAGCTTCTCTTTCTGCACCTTCCAGGACTCCCATAACTCTTATATTTGGCCTCTTAATAGTGTCTTTCAATTCTTGAATACTTTTTTTGGCCTGATCCAGCTCTGCTTCCAGCTTTTTGTTTGCTTCCCCCTGGTGACAGGAGATATCTGCCAATTCTGAGATTTTTTTCTTCTGCTTGTTTCATTCTCTTTTGGAGATCTCCACTGTACTTGTAATTTGCTCTACTGTGTTCTTAATTTCTGATATACCAGCCTTGATTTCCTTTACTGCTTCCTTAAATTCTTTGAACTCTTGCATTAACTTCTCATTTTTGACCAGAATCTTTAAAATGAGTCTTATGGATTCTGTGTGCCCCATTTTCTCAATGTCTTCCTCAGTTAACCCTGAGGTTGGCATAGGGTTTTGCTCCTTTGCAGGGGAGTTTTCAGTAATATTCATTGTGCCTTTGTCTCTTCTTTTGCTCTTGATCATTGTACTTCTGGTTAGCAGAGTCTTCTCCTTGGGACAGGTTTCTAAGTTGTGTCACCCACAGGTCTACAATGCAATTTTACTTATTGCAGTTGGTACACAACTTTTTGCTTGCAGCCGCTTGTGCCACAACCTCCAGCGAGTTCCAGTTCTGGGTTCTTATGTCAGATATCCACCGTGGTCTCCACAGCCCAGCTCTTGGCTCACCTCTCTCCACCTCCTGTGATACCGTGCTGAGGCTGCACTGTTGTCTCTGCAACCTTTCTCCCTCTTCCGGTTGGAGTGGGTTCCAGGATTAAAGAGACACCAGGTGTCCTATCTAGTTAGGTTGTTGGTGGTGCTAATCTTGTCGGAACTTGTTGGACACTAGGTCTGGGTGCCACACGGACCTGTTTTGACCGGTACGATGCCACAGTCGGTATTATTTTCCTGCAGGATCTCAGCGAGTTCTCCTGAGCTCAGCACATGCGCAGTTCACTGTTGTCCCTTGCAGTCCCAAAGCTTTTGCCACAGTGCGCAAAATGGCGCCCGATGTGCTACCACAACAGTTCTTGATCTGCTCGCTGACATATCCGAGGTTTACCCAGACCTGCCCCGGATTCTACTTGTAGAATGCCAAGTCGTTGCAGTTCACCGAGTCAGAAATGAGCTCACTCCCGCTCAGAGCATGCTCAGTCCTTTCCCTTGCCCTTTCCTCCTTAGGCAAAATGGCGAACAATTCAGCTCTAGGGGGCTGACTGGGCTATGAAATCCTCGCTGTTCTCGCACTGCCCGCCTGGGACCTGCTGCTCTGTCTCTCCTCCTGGTCAAATCAAACAGACCAGCAGGACAGACAGTTCCCCGTCTGGGTTCACCTCCCAAGCTCCCAAAGTCCCTTCCCATCTGGTTGCTGGTGGAGTTCTGTCTGCTGGTGGAGTTTAGATCACCATGCTGGAATATCATTCACTGCAACACCACACTGCTGTACCCGCTGCTTTCCTGTGTCTGTCAGTCTCCAGGTACCCCTCTGCTGTTCTGTCCTTCCGTATTTCCTGAAATATGTCCTCTCTGCTTCATTCTGGTTAAATGCTTCTCTGTCTCTTTAAACGTGTCCTTACCCTAGTCCGCCATCTTGATTCTCGCTCTTGTTATTTTTAATGCTCTGTTTTGATGAGCTTGTTAACTCTTGATTTAATTTGCCTTTAGCTGTCACCTATGATGCTTCTTAACATAGACTGTAAAAATTGTGTCTCTCAGCCGCTATGTCGGTGAAAGAAGTCCTCCAAAGTCTGGTTGATGATGGCATGGTCGACTGTGAGAGGATTGGAACATCGAATTACTATTGGGCTTTTCCCAGTAAAGCTCTTCATGCAAGGAAACGGAAGTTGGAGGTTCTGGAATCTCAGGTAAGTCACTATGATTAAAAACAATAGATTTACTTTGCAACAGATTGGTTTTACCTGATTTTCTTGTTTCATGGATCCCTTTACAATTTGGGTTTATTTGTTTTTTAAGATTTATTTTTATTTGAAAGGTGAATTTACAGAGAAGCAGAGACAGAGATATCTTCCATTCACTGGTTCACTCCCCAAATGGCCTCAATGGCCAGAGCTGAGCTGATGTAAAAGCTGGGAGCTAGGAGCTTCTGGGTCTCCCACACATGTGCAGGGCCCCAAGAACATGAGCCCTCTTTCGCTGTTTTCCCAGGCCATAAACAGAGAACTGTTTTGGAACTGGAGCAACTAGAATTCCAACTGGTGCCCATCTGGGACACGAGCACCATTCGTGGAAGCTTAGCTTACCATGTCGTGGTGCCAGCCCTCCCTTTACATTTTTAACCTGCATTATGTGACCCATGGTCTAAAAATAATCAGTCCATCTTTTTCCAAAATAATCCAGGAACCATAGTATATTTTGATTTTCATCTTCCCACAATTATGACATTGCTGGTATTTAAGGTTTTTTTGTTATTTAGATTATTGTTACTTTGAAGTCTTAGGTTTACTGAGAACTGATGGAAAAGTAAAGGGTAACAAATATGAATTCTGTTTTCCCTCCTCAGCACCCACAGTGCGACTTCACTTTAAACCATGTGTTTGTCACAACTGATACGATACCAATGCGGGTATCTAATTATTAGTGAAAAGTCATAATTTACAATGATTTACATTGGGGTCCATGCTGTTTGTGTCCTGGGGGTTTGATATGTGATGACCTGCATCCATAATTGTGGTGTCATTGCCTGGTTTCCTGTTTCTGTTACTGCAGCAAAATGCCTGAAGCTTGGTAGTTGTTTTTAAGGATTGTTTGTTTGTTTGAAAGTCAACATTAAGAGAAAAAGATACAGGGGTCTTTCATCAGCTAGTTTAGTCCCCAGCAGACCGGAGTGGCCAGGGTTGAGTCAGGTGGGAGCCAGATGCTTCATCTGTCTCCTACATGGGTAGCAGAAGCCAAAATACTTGAGCTATCCTCTGCTGCTTTTCCCAGACCATTAGAAAAGAGTTGCATCAAAAGTGGAGCAGCTAGGACACAAATGGGTTCCCCTATTGAATACCTGCATCTCAGGCAGTAGCTTTACCCTCTGTGCTGCAATTCAGGCCCTGAGACTGGGTAATCTGTTAAGAGAAGAGGCTTATGTCGCTCTCAGTTCTGGAGTCCAAATACCGTGGTGTTACCTCTGGCAAGGCTTCCCCTGCTGCAACACCTCATGGCAGGTGGCATTGCAGTGACTGGAGTCCGTGTGAGAGGCAGAGAGAACAGTACGAGACAGGAAGACAGGGCAGGGAAGGGCCTGTATTTTTATTCATCACTGAGTCCAACGGACCTTTGGAGGGAGACTGGAACTGTACACAACTGTAGCACTAGCCTAAAATCCTTTGTGCTCTGCCTGTTCACTTGTCTTCCCACTTCTCTGCTAGACCCTGGCAACTGCCTATCTGTACTGTCTCCATCCAAATTTGCATTTCCTAGAGTGTTACATAGCTGGGATCACACAGCTTTTATTCTTTCAGATTGGTTTCTTTCATTTCATAATATGCATTTAGATTTGTTCTTTGCCTTTTGATCATTTGTTTTTATCATTTCATCATTTGGGTGTACCCCCAGTTGTTTATCCATTGAGCCATTCAAGAGCATCTTGGGTTTGGGGTTATGGTGCAGATGGTCAGACCAACCCTTGGAACTTTGATTCCATATCAGAGTGCTGTTCCAAGTCCTGGCGGACCGGGTGTGCTGCTCATGCATGTAGGAAGACAGCAAACAATGGCAAATGATTGGACCCCTGCTGCCCAAGTGGCTGACTGGTTGGAGTTTCTGGCTCCTGACTCAGCTTGACCTACGCCTGGCTCCTAGAGCCACTTCAAGGGTGAACGAGCAGATGGAAAAGTGCTTCATTGTCTTGCTGTGTTTTTCAGTCACCTTTGTAAAATACTATTGTGTTTTGTTTCTAAGTTATATAAAGCTGCTATGAACATTTGTAGGTAGATTTTTATATTTTTTATGTATTTATTTTTAGTTTACGATATTTGAAAGGCAGAAAGCAAAGATCTTCTGTCTGCTGGCTCACACCCGAATGCCTGCAACACTGTCTACAACACTGTCTACCAACACTGGTGTAGACTGAAGTCAGGAGGCCAGAACTCCATTTAGATTAGTAGCCAAGATTTGAACCTGGCAATCCAATAAAGGATTAAGGCTTCCTGAGTGCACTCATCCTGCATGCAGGTGTTGGTGTGGTGAGAAGCTGTCATTTCATTTAAGTGAGTGCCAAAGAGCGTGATTGATGGATTGTGTGGCAAATACAGGTTTAGTTTTGAAAGAAACTGCCAAGCTGCCATCCAGATAGATGACACCATTTTACACATCAGCTGCAGTAGATGGTCATTTTTGTTACACTGTATCTACCCCAGAATTCAATGTTGTTGGTGCCTTATATTTAAACCATTCTGGTAGACATGTGCTTTCTGTTGCTTTAATTTACAGACCCCAGTGTAGAGCAGCTTTTCTATAAGCTTACCTTATCATCTGTAAGAGAGGAGCTGTTGATTTAAGTTGTTGTTCCATTTTTTAACTGGGGTTTTAGTTTGTTTTCATACTGTTGCATTTTGAGGCCTTTTGTGTGTGTGTGTTTAAGATGTCAATCTTTTGTCTGATGGTGATTTTCAAGTATTTTTCTACCACTCTGTGCCTTTTTGTTTCATTCTGTTAGTAGTGTCTTAAACAGCAAATGTTTTCAATTTTGCTTAAGTTTTCTTTCATGGGTATTCTGTTATCATATAGGATGTAGCCACAACCAAAGGTCCAGATTCTTTCCTATGTTATCTAGGAATTTTATAGTTTTATTCTGTGTTTAGGTGCATTGTCCATTCTGAGTTCATTTTTGTCAAAGGTGTAAGATTTGTGTAAAATATTTTTGTATGAGATATCCCAATGCATCTTATTTCATAGGCTTAACACTATTTTCAACAAGGAATCCTAACTGATGAACCCTTTGGTAATTTCTTCAGCTAAGATTTTAGAATATAAACTCTGTCAGTCTTTATTTGAAAATGTCTAATTTGTCATCACATCTTGAATATACAAAGATGCTCTGAAATGTTTATGGAAATGTTATCAAAAGCCAGAATAAAAACCAACAACTATAGTGTATGCAAACAGCCCCAAGATGGAAAAAGATGTAGCCAGCAAGGTACTATTCAAAATAACGGAGAAAGGTATGAGGTATCCAGGAATAAACCTAACCAAAAACGTAGGAGACCTCTTTGAAGAAAACTGCAAAACACTTTAAAAAGAAATTGAGGAACACCTCAAAAGATGGAGAAACATACCATGTTCCTGGATGGGTAAAATAAATATCATTAAAATGTCCATACTACCAAAAGCAATATATACATTCAACGCAATCCCAATCAAATTACCCAAAACATCCTTCATTGAACTGAAAAAATGGCACAAGGGTTCATCTGGAAACACAAAAAAACACAAATAGCTAGAACCATTCTAAAGAATAGGAAGTTAACAGGGGGAATCACAGTCCCGGACCTCTGGACATACTATAGGGCAGTGGTTATTAAAACAACAGTACTGGCACAAAGATAGAGAGGAGGATCAGTGGAGCAGAATAGAAACAACAGAAAGGAACCCACGCAGATACAGCCAAATAATCTTTGACAAAAAGACAGACTACAATCCAGGCAAATGGGAAGGTCTCTTCAATAAATGCTCTTGGGACAAATGGCAGATGGCCTGCAGAAACAGGAAGATAGACCCACATCTTTCACCATACACCAAGATCAAATCTAAATGGATAAAAGACCTAAACCTACATCCAGAAACCTTGAAACTTTTGGAAGAAAATATTGGAAATACCCTACAAGATCTAGGTATAGGCCCTGACTTCCTAAAAAGGACACCAAAAGCAATAGCAATCAAGACTAAAACAAATGGGACCTCATCAAACTAAGAAGCTTCTGTACAGCAAGGGAAACAATCAACAAAGTTAAAAAAAGCAACCCACAGAATGGGAGAAGATCTTTGCACACTACATAGGTGATAGGGGGCTAATCTCCAGAATATACAAAAATCTCCAGTACAACCAAAACAACAAAACAAACAAACCACTCAAGAAATGGGCAAGGGAAATGGGCAAACATTTCACAAAGGAACAAACCTGAATGGCAAACAAACATATGAAAAAATGCTCAAATTCCCTGGCAATAAGGGAAATCCAAATTAAGACATCAATGAAGTACCACCTAACGCCAGTAAGAGTGGCTCACATACAAAAAACTGCCAACGACACTTGTTGGCGAGGATGTGGGGGAAAGGGAACCCTACTCCACTGCTGGTGGGACTGCAGGCTTGTACAGCCTTTATGGAAATCAGTATGGAGAACACTCAACTGAAAATCTGCATACCATATGACCCAGGAATAGCACTCCTAGGAATATATCCAAAATACCTGTTACATGACAAACCTGAATGCACCCCTATCATAGCAGCACAATCAATAATTGCAAAAGCTTGGAAGCAACTGAAATGCCCATCAACAGAAGACTGGATAAGAAAGCTATGGTTCATTTACTCCATGGAATACTACTCAGCTATTAAAAAAAACGAAATGCAGTTCTTTGTAGTCAAATGAGCCCAACTGGAAACCATTATGCTAAGGGAAATGAGCCAATCCCAAAAGGTTAGATACCACATGTTTGCCTTAAGTTAAGATCAAATGATGTCAATCTGAAAAATAGTACCTGTAAATTGTAATATTATTTCAACCTCAAACAGCCTGTATCACATGCAGTAAGATATTGTGACATAACCAATGAACTGACAATCAATGTGAATCAGACTGCTTATGGTCTACATCAAAGAATTATAAAACCTAATATCCTTTTTTTTTTTAAAC